GGATTGGGCACCTAATCATGCAAAATGCCTTACTCCGCGTGAGGCTCCGGAGAACTTCAGCCAGTCAGAGCAGACGGGCCCTGGGCTAGGCGGACAAGACCTGGCCCGGGAGAAGGACTTTCCCAGTGTGCCGTGACCGTCTGTCAAGCAAATAAAAGCTTATAGCACAAGTCAAAGCACAAGCGTTCCAGGTTTGCCACCGGGAATGCGAGTTATAGAGGTGGCTGGCCGAGACCTGTGTCCATCTGTCTTCCCATCAGGCCGATATCGCACGAGTTCTTTGCCTTCCCATCTCCCGCTTTCCCCATTCTGGACAGATAATTCTTAACGGGCTGGAAAAATATTGCAGCCCACTCTGCAAAATACATAAATAAAGGGAGGGGGACAGAAAGAAAAAGGTTTATTCAATGAGATCCCCTGTTAATATTCGTCCTGCCCCTGCTTCTTTGGTACGGTTTAAGAACATCTGCTCTCGTGATGGAAAGCTTTCATCCCAGTGTAAAAACATCAACCAATTTCAGTCTGGCTATTTCAGCCAGTCATTTGAATTCCTCCCCTCAGCCTTTGCATCAATTCCATATTTTTCTGCATTGGTTTTGGTACGAAATGTAGAAAATTCTACATTCAGAAGAAAGATAAACGATGCCTATCTTTGCGTTCTCAAAACAAAAGCAAACCCACTACAAATATTCCCATTTTTTTCTGTTTCAGGGATGCTTCCCCCCTCCCCCCTTTGCTGTGGTGTTGGTTTCTCTGTAGATCTTGTGCAGAAGTTCGGTTTGTGCATCACAGGGAAGGTGTTTGGCCAACAGGCACGGTCAGGTTAATATCGCTACAGATACTTACGACATTCTGCTCCGAGCTGCTTATGTGCTGGTGCCCCATTCCTTCTACCAAAGCAACTTGGTTAGGCTGTACAGAAAGAGAGGGCTGAATCCCATCTTCCCTCCTCCCCAGCTAAAACATTGCATTACGACATGACTGACATTTGAAAAATAAATATTTAAAAGGGAATACAGAGACATTGGAACAGAGGACCCCACTTTCACACACTCGTGAATCAAGCAGTCTGGATTAATTGATTAATTGGATTAATTTGCCTGCAGATGCTGTCTCCCTCAGAGCCTGTTAATATCTCACTCTTGCTGACATTACTTGTTAAACACCCCACAAAACCCACAAACTATCCCATTGCCTGTTGTCTGCTCGGCAGGTCAGGAAGCGACTAAGTCGCAGAATTTGGGGAGTTGTGGGCTTTTCTTTGCCACCCCACTGTCATTTGATGAACCCATGTGGACATTACGTTACACGTTGGTTCCTGTTGATGGTTTGATACTTATGATATTTAAGGTCCTCCTTTTCTTTTTCTCAATGCAATACAATGTCTGAGTTTGCTAAATAAAAATGCATGAAAAGGCAGCCAAGGAGCAGTTCGCTCAATCCACAAGGCTGGTTAGCTGTGTGTTGTCCTTAGACGAATTGACTGTTATTAAGCCAATGAGAGAAACTGGTTCATTTTTCCATTCGAAAAGGTCCTGGTCGCCTTGGTGGCCATAACATAGGGTAAGCCCGTAACTGGAAGTGGTTCAATCAGAATGGGTAAAACATAAAACAGCTGCTTTTATGTAGTCACTTAATTTCGAATGGGAGGGGGGAATCCTATATTTCCCACCCTTGACTAAGTCCCATGGTAGGATCACAAACAGCCTATTTGCTCCCATAAGGGAATCCCACTGAAAAGATTTTGCGTGTGTCAGGCTGGAAACAAGGAAGCTAAAGCAGCCTTCCCCAGTGGGGGACCTTCGAAACGTGTTGGCCCATGTTGACTGGGACTGGTGGGGGCTGCAGTCCAAGGAAGGGGAAAGCTGATCTATTACATAAAAGCAAACCAGATCATTGCAATGCATGGCTGTGAGAGCTGGACCAGAAGGAAGGCTGAGCGCTGGAGAATCGAGGCCTTTGGATTGTGGGGCTGGAGGAGACTCTGCGAGTCCCCTGGACTGCAAGGCGATCAAACCGGTCCGTCCTAGAGATCAACCCTGACTGCTCTTTAGAAGGCCGGATCCTGAAGATGAAGCTCAAATACTTTGGCCACCTGATGAGAAGGAAGGACTCCCTGGAGAAGACCCTGATGCTGGGAAGGATTGAGGGCAAAAGAAGAAGGGGATGGCAGAGGATGAGGTGGCTGGATGGGGTCACTGAAGCAGTCGGTGTGAGCTTGGGTGGACTCCGGGGGATGGAGGAGGACAGGAGGGCCTGGAGGAATGTTGTCTGTGGGGTCGCGATGGGTTGGACACGACTTCGCAACTAACAACAACAACAACCCAGATCAGCTTCAGCGTGCAGTGACCGCAAAAGCTCCATGAAATGAGCTTTAATTAGGAGCCACTTTGGGTCATACATACATCCCTGATGAGCATTCTGCTTCTCTCGACTGTGGCAGGAGACACAATCACCGGGACAGATGAGCGACGACAGCAGTTGAAGGGGGTCCAGGCGGCTCGTGTTTGCACTAGCCCCTCTTCTTCACCAGGTTAGAGAGATTTGCTACGGCTCGGCTTCTTGCTGGCTTACTCAGCCGCCTGCCCCACAGCTGCAGCTGAGAGGGCTGCCCCTACTGTTGTTGTCCGGACCCAGAATATGTGCGGAGGTGAGGGCTACACAGGCAGTCCTGACCATCTGGACAAGCAATTGGCTTTCCATTTTCTTAGAAGCAGAGAGTTGTGGGTTCGATAGAGTGCCTGCTGGAAGTATAAGCCAGGAACTTGTCGTGATTGCATTGTGGCGTTGTAGGGCCAGGTCACACTGATGGAGGGGAACGCTGCCTCTGTGGAGGACTCCTCGGTGAAGAACCGTCTCCCCTTCCCCTCTCCCAGCCTTTAGTGCATTTGGTTTGCTTTCTTGGCATTTCTGGGTTACTTTTGTCTTTAAACGTGCCATTACTTGCCACGGTGACAGCCCTCCCTGGAAGGAAACAGAAATGATAACTAAGATAAATAAATCAAAACTCCCATGGCCTCATGATTCTTCCTGGTATGGCCTCATCTATCTTACTATGCTGGGAGGAGGATTTTCAAGGAAGATCACGACAAGTTCGGTATGTAAGGAAGCCACTTTGTGGAAAGACGGGGGAAGGAGCCGCCCTTCAGGACACGGCAGTGCAAAGCACACGGGCCTCTAGCACATCCGTTTACTGGGGAACAAATGCGCAGGCCGCAAGGAACCCCGGCCCTTTTGGGGGTAGGTCGGAGAGCCTTGTTGAGAGTGGCCACTCAAAACAGAATTAAGAGGAGGACGTGCATCACAGAAAGGGAGAGGATGAATGGGAACCTTGCGGACACGGTCAGGTTGCCTCCGAGTTGCGCAGCCTGTGAATTCGTGTCCCCCAGGCGCCCCTTCCTTGGCAGCCCTGCACCGCTTTTGCTCAGGCGAGTCTGGGGGTCTTTTCAAACTTTTTCAGTAGGGGGCCACTTGAAGGGCAGCGGTGAGGGGGGTGCCTGGGGATGCAGGTCGGTAAGGCGTTGGGCACGCGCAGCGGTGACTCGCTCGCTCCGAGATGTCCCGGTGAGTTCAAAACCATCTCCGAGCGAGCGAGCGAGCGGACGGCGGCACGGGCCAGATGACAGGGCAAGACGGGCCGGATCCGTCCCGCGGACTGCAGATTGAGGACCCATGGTCAAGGCCGTGGCTTCCTTGGTGGAACTGGTACCTCTCACGGTAGGTCCTCCTCCTCCAGCTTCAGTTTCCCCGGCGTGAGTCCCCTCAGGGAGTCCTCTCTTTTCACTATGTGCCCAAGGTATGATGGCCCTTGTGACCCTTTGTCTTTCTTCAAACCCACCTTGGACTGGGCAGTCCTGCAAACAGAGGACCAGCTGCGGACGCTCCTTCCGGTAAACTCTCCGCTGCAGAGTTCCAAGGTCAGCCACCCTGCACGACACCCCACGATCTCTTCTTTACCCCCACTGCTTTTTGGCCACCCTAAGGGGAACAATATATTAATTGCATGAATGAGATATTTCAGAAAGTGAAATGGCAGTAACTCTTTAGCTTTATCAAAAGATAAAATACAAAGTGAGGTGGTTATGCCGAAACTGACTTATTCTGAACGAGGAGGAGAGACAAAAGCAGGATAAATTCTTGTCTGTCTGGAAAACTTATTGTGTAGAGGCTGTGGAAGCCCCGTTTCTAATGATGTAACTCATTAATATTTGTTGTTATCACATTTTGAATTAAGTACATTTTGAATTAAGGCAGGTGTAGAATGTATTACTGTTGTGTATTCTAAAATGATAAACTTGACATAGTTCAGGTCTCGAGAAACGGGATGCAGCTGCTGGTGATTTGCGTTGTTTAAAAAGCCCAATCAGATGTGCAAACAAGCTATGATAGAGCTCCGCGCCACGGAGCCAGCATTTTATTCGTACTCTCTTCTATCCGCGTCCGGACGCCCGCTCGGACGGCCGCACGGATCTAGGCGCCAGACGCGACGCCTTGCAAGCCCCGCGAACGCGAGAGCGTCGGCACTGCGACTCCCGTGGTGCACCGCGCACCGAGCGGAGCCGTTTTCTCGCAGAGCGTGCTGGGAACAGTAGTCCCAGCCTCGGCCCCGCCCCCGGCCTTCCCCGCTCGGTCGCGCGGCCGCTTCCCGTTCCTGGGGCCGCGCGGCGGGCAGGTGCGCGGGCGCGTTCGCACGTGATGCCGGGCGCCCTGGGGTCGGGCTTCCACGCTGGCCCGTCTCCCCGCAGGCGGCGGCGGCGGCGGCTCCGGCTCGGCTCGGCTCCACGCTCCCCGGCTGTGGCCTCGGCCAGCTGCCGCTTCCTCCTCCCGCTGCTCGGCGAGCAGGCGGCCCGGCGCGGGAGCAGCGCTGCGGGAGCTGCACGGCCTGCTCGTGCCAGCGTGCCCGCGCTCCCACCCACCCGCGCACCGGCACCCCCCCCTCCTCCTCGGCTGGGCGCGTGCCCATGCACCCCCAGCTCCCCCGGCCCCGTGCAGGGCTCGCTCGCTCTCCCTGGAGTCCCCTCCACCGGCATCCAGGCGCGGAGGGTGCGTGGGCGGCCAGCGCTTCCCCGGGTGCCCCTCTGGGCCGCGGGCGGATTGCGAGGACGACGACGTCTGTCTGGCCCCGGGGCTTGTTGGCAGTCGCTGCGGGTGCTGGGCTGAGGCGGGAGGGGGGCGGCCGGGCTGCTCATGGCAGTTGCCCCGTGGCGATGCGTGCGCACAGCCCACGTAGCCCTCATGCAGAAGGGTGCCTTCACACGAGGAGGCCACCCGTCCCCCTAGATGCCACTCCAGCCAAGCGCAGCAGTTGGGGCGCCAAGCACGGTGCCTCTGCCGAGACGCCCCCTGCTGCTGGGACACCTGAGCTGCGGATCGGCTTCAGGAGGGAAGCTCGCTCGCGGACGCAAAATTCGCGCCAGGCGGCTGCCAGAACGTGCCGGGCTGTGGCACACGCCTTGCGGGGAAGGACAGGATAGCGGAAAATGCAGGCTGGAGCGTCTGCCGCGGTTGCAGGCGCTCTTGCCATGCAGCTTTATGGTGGGAGCGCAGGAGTCGTGCAGAAACAGGCAAGTGAGTTTGGGCAGGCGAAAAGCCAAGACAAAGTGCCCAAACCGTGCAGGAGCCGTAGTTTCTCTGAGTGGATCCGCAGAGATCGAACGCACCCAGCCCCCCATGGGTGCCAGGTTCCGATGCAACGGCGGGCCGTGCCTCCGTGGCCTCCGCTGTGGCTTGCCATTGCACGCGGCCCACCCACGGATTCCAGCCGAGCTGCCTCACAGGGCTGTCGTGAGGGCAGAATCGGGAAGTGTGCAAGCCACCTTGGCTTCCTTCTAAGAAGGAAAAATGAAGGATATGCATGTAATAATTACTATATTGTGATAGCGAGTTGCGTGTTCCTAATTGGGTGCCGTGATCTTGATCTGTTGTGCCCCCGCCTGCATGTGAAATGGCAGTCGGGGAGAGGTGCTCCGTCCCTGCAAGCGTGCAGCGCGCCTGCGTGGCCTTCCTGCCCCAGGCGCCGGCACGGCCTGATGGAGGGCCGCAGGGCACCTGGCTGCTGGGCAGGCAGCACTGATGCACAGCCTGTGGCTCAAGCTGCCGGCAGCGTCTCCGTTTTACTGGTGCTTAAGAGCTGCAACCGACAAGATGAAGGCCCCGCTAGTGGAGCGCTGTGCCCCCGCGGTGCCCAGGCGGGTGGCTGTGGCAAGCCCACGATGGGGGTGTGTGCGCTGCCGTTCTCTCCTTGAGGCAGTGGCTGCGTTTGTGTCGGTGTTTCACCACTGCTCCCCCACAGGACATTGAAGGGGCCCGGGAGTTTCCGTGCACGTGTGTTGCATCCACACAGACAAGCAGTCGCTGTCCCGGGTTTCAGCCGAACCCCGTCCAATCCGCTCAAGATGCCAGAGGCTGAACTCCGTGGGTGCAGCTTCTCATTCACGGACGCTTCTTCTGTAGCACTCTGGATGTGGATGCCGGTGAGTGAGCGTTATGAGGGGTGTGCGTCCTTGAACGTCTGTACATAAATGCCCCCCGAGGGTGGTGCGAGGTGCCCCATCGGCCCTGAGTCCACGTTCTCAGGACCCTCCCAAAAAGCACACGGGCGTGTATTTCATTTCCCCGTCTCCATCTCTTTCCCGCTTTCCCTGTGCGTCCTTAGCACTGAACAGCCTTTTCTCCTAAGGCCATCCCTGCGTGCGACCAAAGGAGGCCTGGATGGGGTAGAGGAAGGCACGGGATTTCAAGGAGAAAGAACAAGCAGAACGATTCAATGGGGAGGGGGTGGCAGGAGGCGAGACACGTAGGGCAAAGAGCCGGCCAGGGGGATCGGGGGCACGGACCAAGGATGCCAGAGGGTGAGGGAGGCAGGCAGGAGCAGGGAAAGGATCCGGGAAAGGAGCCAGGACATGCCTCTGGGGCAAGGGGAGGCTCGGCTGCACCACCAGCCCTCCCAGCCCTCTGCATCTCTCCCCCCCTCCCCTCCCCATCCCTTCGCCTTGCATGTTGAACCTCTTCAGACAGTCGTTTTTGCTAATTAACTGCAAGCCACTCTGGGAGAGCCCTTGGGCTGAGGAGCAGGATATACCGTGTTTTTCCCTCTATAAGACGCACCTGACCATAAGACGCACCTAGTTTTTAGAGGAGGGATCCATGGAAAGCTTCCTGATGATCACAGGCACATTCCCCATCACTTCCCCATGGGCTTCATTAAAAGACGGGTTGCCATTTGAAAACACGCACCGACCTGTGCTTGACAGCTCTCACCTGCGCCGGGGGGGGGGGTGGCGGAGCAGAGCGCGCTGAGCGCCTGCCGGCCAGGTGTGGTGCAGCCGGGCTGGTGGTGCTCTTCTGGGCGGCGCGGCAGCGGCGGCGGCAGGTCTTCCCGGGCGGTGGGGGTGAGCACTCCATCTCTCTGTGGGGCCAGCGGGTTAAAGGCTGCGGCTCCTCCTCCTCCGCACGCCTCCCCCTGAGCGGCACAGCTCTCACCTGTGCCGGAGGGGGGGGGCAGAGCAGGGCACGCTGAGCATGTGCCGGCCAGGTGGTGCCACGGGGTGCAGGCGGCCGACAGCGTCCCGGGCGTTGGGCACACACACATTCGCTCTATAAGACGCACAGACATTTCCCCTTATTTTTGAGGGGGGAAAAGGTGCGTTTTATAGAGTGAAAAATACGGCAAGCTCTCTCTCGTCTCTGGTCTTCTCTTGCACGTATATACCAGAGATCGTCGGGGCTCTGTACCTCTGTTTCAGGAAACATGCAGTACAGATAGCAGGAAGGTGGGGCAGCATGTCTCCCAGGGCTTTGGGGTGTGCCCCCCAAGAGCCCTGCTTCTCTGGCACTTCCCTGGTGCCTTTAAAATGCTTTAAAGAAGCCGTAGTGTGTATTTCCGCTGTCTGGACGGCTCTGCAGCAAACTAGCACGGCCAGCCGCCCTCACTGGAAAGGTGCAGTATGGGTGAGCGCACGTGGAAGCGGAACGGGGATTTGCCCGATGACCTGATAGGCCCCTTCCGGCTCCTGTTCTCTCCTCAACAGCAGTTCCCCCTCCTGGTGCCTTCCGGATGTGTTAGGATACAATTCCCATTATTCCCAGCTAGCACGAGCAGGTTGAGAAAGGCTGCCTGCTCGGAAGAGTCTGGTGTGGGTGGTGAACACAATTTCTGTGTGACTTGGCCAGCGGCTGCCTGGGACGTGCTGGGGGACGTGGGACTTGCATGCACAGGGTGGTGTCCAGAGAGGCCCTGGTGCTTTCGAACTCTGCCTTGGGGGACCTGCTGGACACCGGGGGAAGGTGGAGGGAACCTTTTCCGGAATAAGCTAACAGACGAGCAAACGGCTTGCCTGGTACTGTGAGCTCCTCCTGGTGCCCCTTGGGGCTGGCAAAATTGTGGAAGAGGCGGGAATGGACAGGCCTGTGGGTGCTTGAAAGGCTCCGGAGTGGAACAAAGCAGGAGGAAAGGGGGCTCGGCGGGACAGCAGCTCTTACGGTTGCCAGCCAGCCGGCCGGCCACCCTCCCTCCCAGGCAGCAGGGCTCCCGTGCTCTTACCTGTGGCCTGACGGACGGACGGACGAGCCAGCAGAAACTTGGTCGAGAAGCTTTTCTTGCCGATCCACCTCCCTGCCAGCTTTTGAAAGGGCAGAGCTGTGCCGCAGGAAGGTCACAAACAGCACAGCAACTTTAGCGCATATCCCGATCCGAGGGATCCATCAGTTCTGTGTTCTTGTGCAGGTCATTCATTCTGCTCCTTTTCAAAGACAGGATAGGAATGGGCTTGACGGGAGATCAAGCGGGGGGCCTTCAGCCCGGTTTGAAGGCAGACCGGTGAGGAGGGAAACGCATTGCCTTCAGATGAACTCAGTTGAAATGGAAGTGAAGACTGGCTATAGTGATATAAGAGGGAGTGGGGCGGTATTGACACCAGGGCCGCTTCTCTTTAAGTGATCTCACACGCTGTGTGTGGGCAAGGCCAGGTTTTGCGGAAAACGCCTGTTGGTGTCTACTCAGAAGTAAGTCTCATGGCATTCACTGGGGTTTATGCACAAGAAAGTGTATCCACAGGATCGCTGCTTTGGTAACTAATGTGTTAAGAGAGACAGAAAAGTTGCAAAAATTTGCCTAGAAAAGTAGCATGTGCTTTGATGAGAGACTGGCTATAGAAAGATTGGATCATTATGCTAAGAGGTAATTCTCCAGTGCCTTTTCATCATAATGGAATACAGTTCAGAAATGTGTGGAGGACTAGAAGTTGTGTATCACAGTAAAAACGTGGATTGCGAGCTTAATTTGTTCCAGAAACATGCTTGTAATCCAAAGCACTCATATATCAAACTGTATTTCCCCATAAGGTTCAATGTAAATAAGGTTAATCTGTTCTGTAACTTGTTTTTTTAATCACAAAAGGTTGCAGCGAGTGCGCTTGGAGGTGGGGACAATTGCAGTCGTGCTGCGGGGGAGACGGGCATGATAGCGGGGGCACTCGGGAGGGGGCGGGCATCATCAGGACACGCTGGGGGAGGCGGGTGCAATCCCGGCGCGCTCAGGTCGGGCGGGGAGACGCTGCTGGACTTGGACCCGCAGCGAGAGAGAGAGAGAGACCGGTGCTCAGTCGTGACGTGACGCTTGTACTGCAAGACATCGCTCGTTCATCGAGTTAAAATTTAGAAAAAAATTTGCTTATCTTGCAAAACACTCGCACACCAAGTTACTCACAATCTGAGGTTTTTTTTTAAATAAGTTTTATTTGAAATTATAATCCTAAAAAAAAAAAAGAAAAGAAAAGAAAAAACTAAAAACATCCATCATCAAAAACATTGGGCCCGCTGGGTCAGCCCTCACACCCTTCTTTTTCCATTTATGATAACTTAAAAACATATTTAAATCTATGCGAAGTCCTATTTCTCTAGCCAATAATAAAAAAAGTCCCAAGTTTGACAGAAGTCAGTATCTTCCTTCTCCTTCAATGATAAAAGTCCATCTATCCATTTCCGCACAGTCCAGGATCTTCTTTAGAGTCAGTTCATCGGTGCATGGCTTTTCACTTTCCCAGTGTTGAGCGAATGCAATCCTCGCTGCAATAATTACATGTAAAATCAAATACATTTCTTGTTTACTAATATCCTCCGGTATAATGCCTAATAAAAAATCTTCAGGTTTAAAAGCTAAGGGTTTTTGTAACATTTCCTTGAGCCATTTATGTATTTTAATCCAATACTTTATCGCAAGTCCACCACATATGATAAAAAGTACCCAATTTGTGTTTACATTTCAACATCCATTTGGCATATTTGGAAACATCTTAGCTAATCTATTTGGCGACATGCCATCTATAAAACATTTTATACAAGTTTTCTTTATACGAAGTTGCTAATGTTACCTTGATATTTCTCTCCCATAGCTTTTGTCACTTTTCTAATTCAATATTATATCCAAAATTTTGTGCCCACGTTATCATAATTTCCTTAACCTGTTCATCTTCCATTTTCCTATCAAGTAAAAAGTCATATACTCTTTTAATATTTTTTTATCTGATTTAAGCATCACTTGATCAAATGCTGTTAAATCCTTATAAAAACCCCACATTTTATAGTCTTAAGCATCTCTCGATTGTATCTGCACCTTATGCCACTAGGAAATATTAGATCTCTGTTCTTGTGTTTCTTGATTCAATTTCAATCCTCCATCCTTATCCAAAATGTCATCATAACTTATAATCCCTTCAGAATTCAATGCATTTGGATACACAAAAGCTTCCATGGGTGAAAGCCATCTTCGTAATTTATTATACAGTTTTATCTTTAACTTTTCTCACACCGACATTAATGATTTTCTAATATAGTGACTTAAAAAAGAACCATGTGACTTAGCCTTCTCATACCACATAAAAGCGTGCCAGCCCATTTGCAAATCATGTCCTTCAAGATACAAAATTCTCTTATTTCTTAGAGTTATCCGTTCTTTTAGCCATGTTAAAACAAAAGCTTGATAATACAGCATCCAATCAGGGAGACCAAAGCCCCCATTCTCTTTAGCTTCCTGAAGTATTTTTAATTTAATCCTTGGTTTCTTCTTTCTCCATATAAATCTTGACATTTGAAAATTCAAATCATCAAAACATTTTCTATCAATTTTTATGGGAATCATTTGGAATAAAAACAAAAGCTTTGGTAATATATTCATTTTAACTAGTCCTATTCTTCCCAGCAAGGATAATTGCAAAGTGGCCCATTTTTCCAGATCACTCAAACAATCTGAGGTTTTACTGTCCTTTCATTGAACAAGGGATATATGAAAGAGGCTGACTGCGGCCGCGAACCTGGGGTGTTACAGAGGTTTGTCTACGAAAAAGGCTGATCTTTAGGGAAACAATTCAAAATAAGTTTAGTTCGTGTATGTAACATCTTTTCTTGAGGTATGCCTGCTTTCTTTAAAAGAATGAATTGGTGGAAACGTTCATTTTGCAAGAAGGTGGGGCATTTG